CCGCTTGGGAACACCGTGTGACGTTGTCACTTTTTTTCTTTTTTTTTTTATAAAACTAAATTATTTTGAATTATTAAAAAATTATTTGATTACATTTTATATTTCATAAATATTATTTTGCCTATAAATATTTCGACTTTTATTTAAAATAAATAAATTTTCATTATAAAAGCGTGAAATATTATGTATCAGTTATAAAATAAATTCAAAGAATTTAAATTTTAATAATTACATGTCAAAGTATTTGAACAGTTTGTGTATCAACTATACTCGGCAACGTCCATTCCACCACGCTGAAAGCATCAATTCTCGTCCCCATAAGTCTACTTCCCAATATTAGTAAAATATTTGAAACAATTATAAATGAAAAAATTGTAACCTTCTACAATAACAATGACATTATTCCTGAAAGCTAATTCGAATTTAGGAACATTCATCAATACATGCAATTAATAAACTTATGTCAGATATAAACTAGGCCTTCAAGCAAAAAATGTCTCGGCGCATGTCTAATAGATCTCGAAAAAGCCTTTGATATGATCTGGCTCAATGGACTACTTTATAAATTAATAAAAAAGACCTTCCTAAACATTTAACTAAACTCATCTGGGAAAATGGTTTCTCAAGGGTCCCTGATTACTGCATGTGGAAACACTCTTGCCAGTAAGACTTTTAAAATAAAAAACAAGAAGGAACAACAAGGAACAGTAAATTCCCCAGTTCTATTCAATATTTACATTGCAGACCTATTAAAAATTTTTGACCTAAATAAACCCGATAAACCACAAGCCATAGCTTTTGCAGATGATCTCATAGTGTACTCGGCGGACGGTTGGCCTTCCAAGATTCAGAAAACACTACAAGACATATTTGAAAAATTAGAATTCTATTACTAAACATGGAAACTACACATAAATATTAATAAATGTGAAACTATTTTGTTTAGACCTAGTCTAGAATACGCGAACAGAAATGTCAGAAAATACTATAAATTATTTCAAATCAAAAACAAATCAAAGAAGGAGAGATTGTACCAAATTGGATTAGATTGTACTATTGTACAATCGAGCCCACACAAACACACAGTTAAATATTTAGGTATATATATCTCGATGAAAGACTGCATTATAAAAATCATTTAATAATACAATTAAAAAAAGCATTCATGTAACATAGAAGACTCTTCCACTCCAAATATCTAGACTCAAAAGTCAAAATAATATGCTGTCAAGTTTTAATAACGCCTATAATAACATATGGGTGCCCAATATGGTATAATGTTAGTGCAGCTCTGGTCGAGAAGATACGAATTTTTGAGAGGAAATGCTTCGTGTATGCCTAGATATGAATAGCGTATACGGATTATACAAAATAAATTAATAATTCCACGATATATAATAACGCTAACATTCCTCAAATTGACAACTTCATTATTAACTTAACTTTATTAATTTAACTTAATTCTTAATTTAATAATTACATGTCAAAATATTTGAATAATTCGTGTATCAACTATACTCGGCAACATCCATACCACGCTGAAAGCACCAGTTCTCGTCCGATCACTGAAGTTAAGCAGCGTTGGGTACGGTTAGTACTTGGATGGGTGACCGCTTGGGAACACCGTGTGACGTTGTCACTTTTTCTTTTTTT